TGTAAAGAAATAGAAAATTATCTGAATGAGAGTTTTTCATTTGCCTAGACATTGTATCATGTGTTTATACTAATCACTTGCATATATTTTAACCTAGCTGTCACAACCCATTATTACAATTCACAAGTGCCATCACTCTCCCTCAGGTTGAAGATTTTTCAAATTTTATCTTGTAAAAAGATTAAAAATGATGAGGTCGCAATGCAAGATCTTCAGCAACTAACACTTTCTCTAATACGTTCTTAGTAGATGAACAGCTCCCATATTTTATTTTGCGTGCTTTCAAGAAGCAGCCCCCTTAACATTCTCCAAATCGCTATCCATGGCCATGTTACACAGCCTCAGGAGTTCTTCAAACTACTTCCCTTATGTGGCCTTTTGACTTTTTCCTCACCGGTTTCCACCATGTGGGTTACAACCACGACAAACACCATAACACAATAAAGCTAGGTTTGGCTCTTAAGCAACTACGGCAAATGTATGATGACTCCAAATTTAAACCCACAAAAGTTTTTTTTTTTTTTTTTAATTTTCCTTGTCCAGCTTTTTCAACTGGCATTTCTCTTCTGAGTAGCTGCCCATATTCTCTATTAAGTGCATCTTGGCACCATTCTACCAAACTTGCATCCTGTCTCTAGTTATTCTACCTTCGATATTTTATGCATGAGCAAACTTGCTTCTCTCACTGGTTCTCTATTCTCTAGCAGGTTTTACCCCAATTTCCATTGCCAACACATGAAGTTATTGTTAAATATTGGCCTCCACCAGAATTTGAGGTATAGAACATTATTCTCAAAAGAACTGAGAAATGTTGTCTACTATGTTCAATTATTTTTTCACTTTATGTGCAGCGCAATACTGTTGCTTTGGATGAAGGCCAACCTCGTGAGCTCGAAAAAGCTATTGTTATTCAAGATGCCATCTCTGATCTTCCAGCTGTACTCTTCATCCCCTCTTTTCTTTTTCTTTTTTCCTGTCCAGCAACTTGCAGTGAATTTAATGTTATAGGTTCATAGGTCACATACTGTGAAAATAGTGAAGAACTGCCCTACCAGAATCCTCCGGCAACCGAATTTCAAAGATATATAAGGTCATCTAAATATGGTAATACTACCTTCCTTTTGATTACAAATTGGAACTAATCAAGAAACAGTATTTTATCATGTAACTTAGCTTGCCCCTACCATCTTTGCTGAACCTGTGTTGTGTAACTAAGAATGTGTCCTTGCAAATAAACAATCAAAGCATTCCTAGGCAGTGGGGCTCTATAGATACTTTAACAAATTCAATTAGCTGATTGTAGAGCAATACAACCTGAATTTGGAGATCTGCTTTCTCGATAGTTAGTGACGCCACCTTGTTGGACTGGTGGAGTTAATATGTTGATTTAATTGATTGTATTTAAGTGAAAAAAAGCAACATATTTAGCTGTTTAATTGTGAAGCTAAATGTTACTTTGCCTATATCCTGCATCTATTTTTAAGTTCCCAGACAGTCACTTCATGTACTTTTTTACTTGAAGATTTTATTCTTATTTGATATCTTCTGCTTTTCATCTTTGAATAGAGATGACTGGGTCGACATTAGATAGAAGATCAGATAAAACGCCTTTGCTTTATGATCACCGATGCTGCCATATGGATGAAGATAACTACTTGCGTGTTTGTCAAATTCCAAAAGTTAAGGTCGGGCAATATGGACAAAATGTTCTCTTAAACTTTTTGCTTATTTCCTCTTTACCCTCGAACACACACACACATTTGGCCAATTCCTCTTTACCCTTGAGTTTACTTTTACTGTAGGGGGCAAATTTCCGTGATCTACCTGGTGTAGTGGTGGGAGCTGATAATGTGGCTAGGAGGGACCCAAATGAGAAGCCTGTGCTCTTACCATCTGGAAAGCCATTGGTAAATCTTTGGTTGCCTTCATTTGGAGGGGATTGCGTTCATATTATTTAGCTGCGTTGACAGAATGAATACTTATTCTGGGCCAAGAAAAGTAACATAATGCCGTCATTGCTTTTACAGGATTTAAACCGTGCTTAAACCTGAGAATTTGGTTGAAAATTTGTTGAAGCCATAGGGATTGGGAAAATCCCTTTTAAATCTCTTCGAAATACACAAATTCCAAATTGGTCCCCTAAATTTAGCAAATCCCAAATCAATTCGTGGGACCAATTTGAAATTGTGTGAATGCCGTTATTAAGTGGGAAAAATTCATGTTCAAGTTTCTATTTCTTGCTAAAATCGAATTAGATTGACTTGGTCTTATCTTGCTCTCTTGCTTTGATTTTTCTGCTTAGGTCCCAGATTTTTGCTTCACTTTCGAACAAGGGAAATCTAAGAGGTGTGCTGTTTTTCATTTAATGGCCTTGTAAAGTTATTTATTTATTTTTTTGTGTGTCTTATTTAAACCTTTAATCAATATTCATTTTACATGTAGGCCATTTTCACGATTGTGGTGGGATGAGACCATTTCCACTGTCCTGACCTGCCCACATTATCGTGCCCAGGTTTTTGCTTCGCTCTTCGATTTCAGATATAACTAACGCAGATTTCTTATAGCTTTTTCTTTTAAACATTTGTAGACAATATTACATCCTGAACAAGATCGAGTGCTTTCTTTAAGAGAATGTGCAAGGTTACAAGGTTTTCCTGATTACTATCAGTTCTGTGGGACTGTTAACAAGAGGTATGAAACTATGATTTTGATAAATACCGTATAATTGAACGCGTGCTCTTTTATCAGTTACTTGATATATCGTAAATAGACCAAGTTCTAAATTACAAAGTCAAGCATGAAAAAAAAATCATCGTAAACATATCAGATATTAAGCATATCATGCTTGGATCTACCTTAATATCCTTGGTCAACTTGTGTTTATAGAGTCATGTTGAAATGTTATTTCCTGCCCTTGGAAAGTTAATAAAGTGAATAGATATTGTTCTGAAATAACTAAAAAGAATCCTTTTCCACTGTTAAAAATTTTGTTCAGGTACTGTCAAGTCGGAAATGCAGTTGCCATTCCGGTGGCAAGGGCTTTGGGATTTGCCCTGGGGATGGCACACAGAAAGCTCAGCGGAGATGAACCGCTTCTCACTCTCCCGCCCAAGTTCTCTCTCTCAAATTATATTCAGTTGAAAAATAGTCAGAAATCAGGCAACACTGATAAGCATTCATCCTAATTCATTTTCACTGATGTTAAAACTTTTCTAACCTATTCATTTAAACCCTTTTTCCTTCTAGAGCTGCCTTGGCAAGTGCACTTTTAGCGGGAAAAAGTTTGACAACATTCTCTTCACTTGTACTGCACCTGAGGCATTAGCATTTTTTTAATTGTTTTTCATCATCGGATGTTGTAATATATTGGATCCTTCTTTCATTAATGATGTTACTTGTTCTTGCATATCAAATTCTGCACAATTATGACGAAAGACCATAAAGTTTGAGCTGAATTTAAAATGACCCAAAGAACTCAATATGTACCACCTTAGCATAATGCTCGCCCTTAGTGGTGTTAGTTATCGGGTCCTATCCTGCTTGACCTTTATGTGGAGAAAAAAAAAATATTTCTTTAGTCTTAAAAATAAGACTCATTTTTTAATGAAAATATATTATAAAATGGGTCATATATTTAGAATCAAATGAGTAACAAGAAGGCAAAAGAATAAAGCCTAATAAACTATTTATTTATTGTACCCTCTTTTCTTTAGAGTTCTCTCAATACTTTTTCTTTCTCTGTAGTCAACTGTCATTGCAATTAGTAAACTGTTGTTCCTCTCTACTCCCTCTACTTTTGCTATGTTATTGTGTTTTCTCTCTCTCACTCTTTATGGTTTATTCATATAAAAGTTTTTGCGTTGGATTTGAAACTAGAGCTTCCTCTTCCTCTTCTTCCTCCTGAGTTGACCCGCCCTGTCCTTCCTCTTATTTAAAGACTCCTGTCCAAACAATTAAATATCTATTTTACACGGTTGGATGTTTGATATCTTTGAATTCCGTGATGGTTGGTGATTTGCACTTGAGATTAGGATAGCTGTGGAAGCTACGATTCTTTCGGTTAGTTTTCACAAGATGTAGTAATCACTTGAACAGTAAGAGACTAATCTTTTTGAGATACTGTTAGATGCTGTTGTGGGGATCCCTTCTAACAATGTTTTTTTTATACATTGCTCCAAAAATCGAACTCAGAACATGATGTTTAAGGTACTCAAATCCCTTCTACTTGAACCAACACTTGTTAGTCAGTGTGAATTATGTGACTAGAGAAACACTGATTGGAGTGCTTGTCCCAAAGAAATATCACTGCTTATGGTTCATCATCTGCCCATTCCTTTCTCATCCTTGCTTTCTCCTTGGAGGCGGAACTCCAAGATAGTAGTTCTGTCTGGTAGTTACTCGTGTGTGGCGTGATGAGTGGCATTTTCGATGGTTGACATATTTAATTTTCTTAATTAATGTTTCCAACAAAGTATTCAAACATAAAAGCCGCTCATCGTTGCTTCTCTTGCGACGCGGGTTGGAGGGAAAACGTGGTTTTGCTGTTTGTATGTTTGTTTGGCAGCGGCTGCTTTTTTTTTATTATCTCTGTTTTTTTTTTATAGGCACTGGTATCCTCTCATTAAAAACAATTATATATTTATACAAAAAAAAATAATTATATTTGAGAAACTGTCAAATATTATTTATGGATATCTTTTCTAGTAAAAATTTGAATTGGAGTTCACCACGTATGAGACTAATTATTTCTGTTAGATCCCATTTTTATTGGTGCAGTTGTCTTAAACAAGGTTTAGACCATAAAAAATAGACGTAGGCCCATTATATTTTTAATTCTAGCCCAAATCATTTAGGCCCCACTCCTTCTTTCGGCCCATCTTAGTTGGCCTGGACATCGGATCATTCCTCTGGCAAAAACTCGAATATCGGATAATTAAAATCATTTTGTGCCCTATTCCGTTATTTTCAGCCCATTTGCATGTGGGATTTATAGGGTTGGTTGTCACGTCTCTCGGCCTCGCTCTCGCTCGTCGTCTTTCCTTTTTCCTCTGTTGTATGCGAAGCCTCAGTAGGCAGAGTGACGGCAAGAGAGACGTTTTTGGTAAGATTCTTCCTGTGATGTCGTCGTTCTTTTCCCCTTTCTCTCGGTCTGCTGTGGATTAGTGCCTCGTCTTGCCCTTTCTTCTTTGTTCTGTCACTCTTCATATTTTCTCTCCTTATTTGTTACTTTGATTCAGTGCATGAGAAGAACTTGCGTGTGATTGTCAGTGTTTGTCAAATTTTTTTTAAAATATTTTAGGGGCAATTCACCCTAATTTTTTTGGTCGTGACCTGTGACTGTGATTTTATTTGTTATTGGATAAACTGACCTGGTCTTAATCTAGGAACTTCGGTCTGTTAGGCTTTGGTTCTATACTTGCGTGATGATGCACGAATTCATAAATTCTGTTTATCATTCCTTTTGCTGATAGTGGATGGTTCCTTGAGTTATTTTTGTTTTATGATTTGAAATGTCTGTGTGCTCTTCTATTCTTATCGGGTATGCTGCAAGATGCCTCAATGTTTCAATCGCGAAAAAAGGTCATGTTGCCTTGCAAATCATCATGCAGAATATCTCGATTATGACACGTGAAGTAATCTTAACATATGTTTTCATGATCAGAATTAATTACTGTTAATTTCTTTATTTGGTACATTCATTTTTTTTTTTTGGTTCCGAAATCAGGACTGCGGTGGACTGCTCTTTCAAGAGTTTTTGTGTTGACCTACTATTCAGAGAAAAAGATGGACAGAAGATTACCAGCGGATTCAATCCCTATTTTCAACGAAGGTATAGCTCTGGTTCTCCATCGCTGGTCAGCTCTCCGTATGGCTGTCGAGAACGAATGGGGAGGCCGAGAGTCCCGCCAGAAGGCTGAAAGACTTGGCAGCGATCTGCTTTTCTGGTTCACCCAATCTAAAGGTTGTTCTTCTCTTTCTATTGGAACACATAAAGCTTTCGTATTATCAAAAGCAGAATCCTGGTGTATATGGTAACGCTCAATTATTAAGATTTGGTACAACCTGTTGATAACTAAGCAATATCAAGAGATTGAGTTGTAGAATCTTATACCCCCACACATGTTGTTTTGAAAGTTAGATTGAAGTTGTTTATGGTTTGATTAAGAGAGGAGTGATAATCTAGAAAAGGCATCTTTTAATATTTTGGATGTGGTATTCACTCTGGAATTTAGTTACTGATTTTAATAGCTTTTGTTCCCCAGGGCCTCTGTATATTGATGACTTGGAAGAGAAGCTCGATGAAGGTATGGTTTCTCTCAACATGGAGGTTGAGGATGGCAGTATCGAAGAGGTACTTTCGTGTTAAAGTTGCTTTCAGATTTTCATATCAGTAATTGTTTGTTGTCGTAATCTGTCACAACTAGTGAGCATCTTGGCATCAACTAATTTTTATTTTAGTATATCGCCAACATTTGAATGCGGAAACACACTTGTGCTGACAGAGCTTTGGTTCTATTCCTGTTTACAATAGATCGTGCCCCTTTGAGAATGAGTCTCATAATAAACTTCGTGGATTTTGCATGAATATTCGTAAAACCTATATTGGCCTATTGGGTTGTTAGAACCCTTCTTTATTAGAGTTTATTACTTATTAATATCAATACCATGTTATGTCTAACTGCATTTTTAGGAAGGCTCAAATTCTGATTTTTAGTTTCACGTCAAGTTCATGAGTGTTTTATTTACATTGGCCATGCCTGCGGAAACTCTTCTATTTAAATGGGCTATTAATTGAACTTGAATTATGGCTAAGATGCCTACTGATGTCGTCTTTTGTCAATACATTTGATCTGACTAGTTTAATTCACTCACATGCGTTGGTGGCATGCAATAGCTGTCCCCAACGCCCCCTTTCTGTCTCTTATCCCATCATTTTCATGTTGATGATTTTGCAGGTAGCTGAGAAACTGATGATTTTGCATGAAGAATGTCTTGAAGGTAATTTTAGGTCCATTGAGATTCTAAGGGAAGCCCATCTTAAACAAGCTGCTCACCCTCGTGCAATGCAGGTACACATGGTATCGGGGTTTTTAACAGAATTATTGAGTTTTATAATCATATTGCTTATAAAGTATATGTATTTGCTGGGATGCATATAACAAATATAGCTTCTACAACTTAAGCTTGATGCCTGATGGAGTATGTTGGGAGGGAGGAACAAAGAGTTATCATTTGACATGGTGCTTGAATTTGGCGTGTGCTATTCATAAAAAGATGACAGGATATTGTGGCGTAACACGATATTTGTTTGTAGTTGGGCTGAAAGTTAAAAGATGCGGCCTTTACTAATATGGAACTAAGAAACTCTTTTGTGATTTAGAGCTGGCATGTCATACTGTTTAATTTAAATATGAAAATGCAGGAATTGTCTTGCATAACCGGATGAAACTAATGATCTTATTGCACGGGGAAGGAAAATTAGGAAACAAAGGAAACAAATGGCATTTGCTCTCCCCGTTGTGAAAGATTTATATTCATGGGCGTGCTTATTCTCATAATCTGATTCCTAATGTACAGCTTTTTGTCGGTTGCCGTTTGTGTTTTTGGACTATGTTCAAGATCGTGCACACAATGTCTTTGGTTATCATACATAATATGTGAACAGAAACAGTCTGATTATATCTGCTTGATTTTGATGAATGTTACAAAGTTTGACATACTTGCCTTGTTAGGCTGTGAATAAATGAGGACTCTGAAGATGATGATGATGATGAAGAAGACAGAGCAAGGGATAATTCTAATATGGCGGTAGAAATGCAAATGCCAGTTAAGGAGTCCATACCCAAGGCTGCAGCTGAAGCAGGAGACGATGGATGGACTGTAGTCTCAAATAGACGGAATAAGGGTAGAAATTAGAGGGCAATAGGGGAATTCATTTAAAGATCCATTAAATCGTATGTATAGACTTTAGTTTTTGTTTCGTTTTGTTTGTTTGGATTTTTTTCGTAAACTACATGTGTTGCGCCTTTGCTGTTTGAGCAGGTCAAACTTTATATTTCATGAATCACTGGCGATGTTGATATCGTTGGACCTTAAAATGAAATCAATTTTAACTTGTAAATTACCATGAAAAAATAATGCTTAAAAAACATTGAAAATAAGCACTCATGTTTTGGCCAGCAAAAATATGTATTCCACAAAAAGAAGAAAAATTGTCAATGGTGTGTTCCGAGCATGGAAATTATAACAATTGAATTATCCATCATGTGTATGCTTCTCTGATGTGTTAAGCATGTTTCCCCTCCAAAAATAGAAGCAATAAACTCGAGAAAATATATCATTTACCGTGGAATATAATAGTGACGCATACTTCTATTTTTCAGATGTTGCGTCTAATAGTGAGAAGAAAGTATGAACCGAAGTTGAAAAATGTTCGTGGCTTGAAGAGGAAATTGAATTGAATTTTCTTCGCATAAAATTTTATTATCTTTAAATTTGTTTGTAAAGTGTCACAATAAAGTTATAAAACACATTATTATCATAATATAATTGTGAGCTTTTCATTTTATTAAGTTCCTAATTTACTTATTATATTATACTCTAATCTTTTAACGTAGGATTTAATTGCATAGTTAATATTGGTCCTATATATAAATCTATTTTACATGTTGATCAATTTTTTTAAAAATTAATTCTATTGATATTTTCAAAGTAATAATCAAGTAGGAGGGGGAGGGAGGAAGGGAATTAAAAAACACGTTTATGATATTTTAAAAAATGTTCTGTTAATTAATTTAACTAACATTTTTAATCTGCTCAAAATAATTAATTAAGTTTTATGTTAAGTAGCAAAGAAGTAGGTCTTAACTTTTAAATTTTGGTCCACAGAATTGGTTTTTACAGCTGGGACACAGTAATGGTTGTGTACTTAATATTCAGTAATCCATCTGACAATTTTAGAGGGCTAACTTGGCTATTAAAAAAAAAAATTGATTCAAAGAGAAGAAAACAAAGAAAGCCAACGACTCCTGAGCATGCTCATATGCTACTAGCAATTTCAGCATTTTGGGCTTTTTTTTTTTTTCTTAAAAAAAAATTGCTGGCCAATCTTCGCTCATTTTCCCTCAACACATCACATTAAATACAAAATTTCAAACTTAAAAATAAATATGAAATCCTTAATATAAACTTTATTTAAATTTTATTTTGATCCTAAATATAAGACCCTAATCCATTTTGTCTCTTATATTTATATTTTTTTTCTAAGATAGTCCTTCTAACTGTGATAATTAACCAACACACTTAATTAGTAAAAATATTTTAGGAAAGATAACACTTATTTATTACAAATAATTAATTTAATTTTTTTAAATTTTTTTAATTAGTCAACTAGCTCTTATAATTAAGATTAGAGATATATTATAATTTATCTCTTGTAATTAAACCCTGTTAAATGTTCTGTCTCGCATATCTTTTATATATATATATATATATATATATTTTTCAAGTACTCTTCATTCTGGCCAAAAACCTGGGTTTTTTGTCCGGTCACCATCCCCATATATAGGCGGAGGTTTAAAACCTGGGCTAAAACCCTCGTCTCAGTGTTCATCCATTTCATACAAGAATGACGACCAAGTATTTGACATTAAGAGCTTCTACTAAAACCCTCGTCCAACTTCTTCAACCTTCTGTTCAACATTCTGGGCCGGTTTCTCAATTCATTAGAAGCTTTCATTCATTCGTTTCCCGAGAATTTGATGCTCGAAGATTTCAGAACTCTTATCCTGGAAGTTGCAGGGGCATGGTCTGTGCTCCAAATTACAATCTCGATGAAGCTGGTGCTGCTGCGCTCGCCCGTGATGATCCTGTTCCAGCTACTGTGATAACAGGTTTTCTTGGTTCTGGAAAGGTTGGTTTGTTTGGTGCCACCCCCCCTTTTGGCATTGTCAATTTTATCTTTGGGTACAGCGTGGTTGTAGTGCCTCTACCATACGAATACGAACTGTTTAATTTATCTAATGGCTCTTGATGACATGCTGTATTATTTATTTATTTACGTTTTGATGTATAGTTTAGAGATGATACGCAGATTTCACTGTTTGCGGGTAATTTTTTTACCATCCCTGGAATGTATTCAAACATGATCCTCTGTTATGCAGACGACTCTCCTAAATCACATTCTGACGTCCCAACATGGCAAACGGATAGCTGTCATTGAAAACGAGGTATTTAATTCTACCTGCCTATAGAATTCCTTGTTTGCTTGAAGTCTTCACTTGATATACAACATTCAATTTCGAAATTTTCACTCTATTTTGAATTACTACTGGGAGAAATTGAGTATTCAGCACTAGTACTGAATATTAACGTTCAGTATGGGCATCTTTTATAAATACAGTGATATTGACTTGAGTTGAATTAGTCATTGGCACTAAAGCAACATGACGATGACATAGAGCAATTTGCGATGTAACTTTTAAGTGAAGTATGCGAAGTCATGATGTAGCCCAACCCAAAAAGAAAAAAGAAAAAGGGAATACGAGGGAATGAAGTTTTCGGGGAACCTTCCCTTTTTCATATGGAGCATTGATTTTTGTGAGATTGTCTTACTTTTGTTATAAATGCAGTTTGGTGAGGTGGATATTGACGGATCATTGGTCGCTAGTCATTCTTCCGTGAGTGAAGACATTGTCATGGTTAATAATGGCTGGGCCATGCTGCACTGTACGAGGGGATCTAGTTA